AGCTGGGCAGGCTAGAAATGTTAAAGTTGCAACAAGCTTCACCACCAGGGTAGGCTAAATGTTAAATTTCACAAAAGCCGTTAGAGGATAAACATTAAATCACAACTTCAAACTCATAGGTGTAACTCCTATTTTACAAAGTTAAGTATGATTTTAAAATGAAGTAATACCCTTGAAGAATTCTTATTTTTTTATGAGAAAGAGAAGCTGCAATTTTTGTCACTGTGATATTCTTTTTTCCACTAGTGTCAAGTTAACAGAATTATCATCATATATTGTGTTTTCAAAAATCATTCTTTGAGCTCTGGTAGTAGAGTTCTATGATCAGTTCCAAGACATCCTTTCTGCCAGATGTCTTGTCCTCTAATAAAAGAAAAAGCCAAGAGATCCTACTGAACTGTGAAACAGGAAGCAAACTTCATGAGCAGCCTTCACCTAGATAACAGAAACCTGTGAAATTTTCATGCTAGAGAGGACAAAAATGTGTAAAAATACATTTTATCTATACATAACTATAGGAATTGACTCAAGAGTTAGTCACTGCTAAGAAATGTACAAAACAACTAACATGAAACTAAATTTATTTTCCTTAAAATAATTTTCAGTTTGGTCCAAACTCGTATTCTGATTTGGAATGTCAAACCTTACCACCCAGCACTCACTCCTCTTTCTTCCTCTCCAGCAACCATCTGGCCGTTCCCACCTCATGCAAACAGCCATCACTCATCCCCTGCTTTCCTTGTGTGCCTCCAGAGACCAGAATAGCCAGTCTAAATAAGTTCTGTTCCTTGCGGGTGAGAAAGAGAATAAAGATGGCAGAGTGGATATGAGGAATATGCTCCTACTGTTTGGGAAGCTGACCCTTCCACTGCACTGAAGGGTGGACCTATTCCTATGAAAAAGTATAGCCCCCAGCAGCCAAAATAGGGCATCTCAGCACCTTCACATAGAGTCTGCCCCAGCACTGTGATCCTGTCAGGCTGTAGCTGGCAAGAATCATTAATCATTCCCTGCTTCCTCCAGCGAAGAGAGAGACTGGATGGAAGCAAGGCAGGGATCACCTACAAGGTCATATCACCAATTAATGTGTAACACCAAGGATCACAATCCTTCTTTTAAAGAAATCTTCTCCTTGCATTGATTGCATAAGGTCTGCATTTCTGCCTATCTTCCTAGCACTTACAACGAATTGACTGATGGTAAGCTATTAACAATTAAGGGCACAGCAGCATAGATGAAGTAACTTACATCACATTCTTCAATTATTAGTATTATATCAGAATAATTGCATCATTTTATTCTGCACTATTTCCTATTTCTGTAGGAAACAATAATAAATTTGCTTATTTAAAATATATTTTCTCTACAAATATTTATTAAACTGGACTAAGTATCATGTTACTATTAACACACATAACAACTCACCATATGTACTGATTTACATTACTGTTTTAGCATGTGGCAAGAACTTTTTCTTTATTATTATAAAACGATATGTTTAGTAAAAAATTAGTTGTTATTTTCTTGTCAGAATCCCACACAAAGCTGCTTCTGGAAGAAACTGGGACATCTTCATTATCTGTACTTTTGTTTACTTAGTATCACAGGAACTAGACAAGGAAAAAATACCAAATCATGTTCTCTATTTAAACACACCTTAATTAATTATCAAAGGAAATATTCCTTGTAGGTAGTGAACTGATTGCTCTAAATGCTGTGATCTCATGGTTTTGAATTTACAGATCTCAGTCTCTGATGTATATGTGGAATTCCTCATTAGATAAGAAAAAGAGATGCCTTCTGTGCTTTTTTAATGCACAATTAATAATAAACAACACTAAGGACCAAATTATACATTCCAGATATTTTTGGTCAGACCTACTTCATTCAGGTATTAAGTGTTGTTTTCACTTTCTTCTTATCCACTGAAGTCACATTTATCTTTTCCAAAAATTCTTCCCTAATAGTTGACAACTGTCACAGCATTTTACTGATGAAACCTAAATAATTTTTTTCCTAGTACATTATCCGCTAGTAACAGGACAGAATAAACTAGAAACTCCTTGGATATATTTGAGCCAACTTACTGCATGAGCCAACTTACTGGATCGCCACTCCTTACTTGGGTAATACTATATAAATCCTCCATTTCCCAGCAGCTTCCCCACATAAGCAGTCATTCCCCAGTTTTTACTGCAGCCTAAAGAAAAACTGGAAGCAGGAAGCACTGGATCCCTGCTGCTATTCAGCTTTGCAGACTTGCTGTTGCTGCCATCATCAGACTGTTTCACTCTACTATACCTCCATGCCTTCAACCCTGATATCAAGCCCAAAAGGTGAGGGATGGTTGGGATGAGAAGGGTAAGTATGGACAGTAAAGGAGTCATATCCTTCCTTTTTCTAAACTCAACCTGCATCCTTACCCTTCTGGCATGCAGAAGATGTAAACCTTATTTGGAGAGCAGTCACCCCTGAACACCACTATCTCTGGGGATGCAGCCTAAGTAAAACTTCCTACTCCATAAGGTACTTCCAGCCTAACTGTGGGCCCAATTGATACACTTTTAATTTTTTCTTTTTTGAGCAAAAATTTGAAAACTATGATCCATGAGGCTCTAGGGAACAGCAGGAGTTGATGCACATAGCAAACTATGACTAGTTGTAAGGGTAGTGAATCATTCACTGATTCAATGTAATCAGATACATTGGTTCAGAGACAAGCTTGGTAGATTGTGTTACACTGTACTACCATAAACTGAAGGGAAATATCATAATATATTTTGCCATTTTGAGGCTAGCTACATGACACCAAGCTTTACAGAAGGAAAGTAAATTAGCATTTGGTGGTATTTATTGGTGAACAGCAGCATCTTCCATATTAGTTTAAAAGCTGCCCATAAGAAACAGCACTGTTTACTCGGGAAATATGCAAATCTTTTCTGTAAGAAAATACAGCTAAAACTTACTGGGAAGAGTGCCTGAAGGGTACAGTGGGAATGAGAACCCCAAAGAGTTAGATGCAGTGCTTGTGCATGTCAGCTTTGCTTTAAGGACATCTGCAGAATCCAGCCATGCAGTTCTGAAGCTGGAACGTAGTTATTGCAATTCCAGTTCAATATATTCCAGTGTAGACGTGCACATATAGAAATGGAAATAATCTGCCCTACGGAAAAAGAACTTTCTTCCTCACATAACTACAATCACACCAGGGATTTCACTGTGAAATCCTCACTTTGGGGAAAAACCCCACCAATCCAAACTACAAAATATGCCTTCCTACCCCTGAATACACCTTAACTAAGACAGAACAATGCCAAAGTTGCATGTGGAGTATTAAGACTTGAAGGCAGCTATTCCTATGTTCCATTTCAGATGCGGGAAGACTAAAGAAAACTTATTTTCTCCAAGCAAGAAATGAGATCCCTAGGACAAGGAATGTAAAGTTCCCTACTTCAACATAATAGACACTTTATTCTTGATGTAGTTAGCTAGAATATTACAGCAAGGGGGTTAATAAATTTCAGACACTTAGAAGTACTAAATGCTAAAAACTACAACAGTCTGGAAGGGCTTTTTAAATTCCTATTTATTTCTCTGTAGAAAAGAACTCCCCAAGAGCTTGTCACACTGACTGTATGGATTATACACAGATTGCACTAAAATGAACAGAAGCACAGCATTATTCACCAAGAACTGTATGCAACACCTCAAGTAACATCAAAACCCAAACCTAAGGGATCTAAGGGATCTCTCTGCCATTCTCCTGCAAGCTCATTAATAAATTTACATCCATTACCATCCTGCGTCATATCTAATGGAGCCTTAACATCACCCCTGAAAGGGTGGGTTATGGCAATGCAGAGCACTCATGATAAGCACTTCAAGCTGTTTCTAGATCAGAAACCCGTTTAAGGACACAGGGATGTTTTCCTGTGCTGGAACAAGGGACTTGGACAAATCACCCTGGTTTATGCAACTGGCAAAAAGGTCTTAGCCTGTTGTTTGTTTTTTTTTAATGATTATTTCCCATCAACAATTATCATTAACCTCAGGGACATCGGGGTGGGGGAAATCCAAACCGCACCACCATGAACAGATACTTTTGGAGTAGATTGCTGACATTTTCTTTGCCACTTGTTTTAACATCTGTTAGCACTTAAAAATAAGATGTATCTGCTCATACATCACCCACTAACATATCCTTGGAAGTGTTCAAGGCCATCCTGGATGGGGCTCTGAGCAACCTGGTCTAGTGAAAGGTGTCCCTGCTCATGGCAGAAGGATTGGAACTAGATGGTCTCTGAGGTCCCCTCCAAACCACGGAATTCTGTGATTCTGTGATGAACAGTAACACACACTTTCTAAACAACATTATCGGGCAGGAAACACGATATGCTTAGAACGTGCTAATCGTACTAGATGAAGAAAAACTACACTAACAGTAAATTTTCTGGGTTTTAAGATGAGACTTCTAGGTAAACGAATAAAAATCTCTGACCTCTCCTTCCCTACAAAGGAAATTTAAAAAATAACCCAAAACGACCTTGCGGAGAGCCAACCCACAGCCCAGACCGAGCTGCAGCGAATCCCGCAAGCTCCAAAGGGATCAAACCTCTAAGGAAAGAGGGCGCACAAGGTGCCCGGCGCTTGTCCCCGTAAGGGCAGGAGGGACAACACGGCCCGTAAGTATCGCACAGGCCGTGCGAACGTGGGGAACGGAGGGGAGGGAGGAAAGGAAGGGAAGAAGCAAGGAAAGAAAGGAGAGAGGAGGAAAAGAGAGAGAGAAGGAAGGAGTAAAGGAAGGAGGGCGAGCAGCGACCCGAGGGAAAATGGGCGGAGCCTCCAGAGGCCCCGCCCCTCCCTATCGAGCACCCCGCGACGGCCCCTCCCCCACCCGGCAGCCGCGCGCGCCGCGGGGCGGTGGCGGCTCGCGCCGCCAGTTGNCGAGCTCACGCCACCGCGCATGCGCCGCTGCCTCTCTCCGCGCGGCCGTGAGGGCGGGGCAGGTGGGGCGGGCGGGCCCTGTCTCCCCGCGCGCGAAGCACGACGGGAGCTGTAGTTTTTCCCTCAGGAAGCTGCCGGCAGGGGCACTACGGGTCGCTGGCCGCACTACAGATCCCAGCGGCCAGCGCTCAGCAGGGGTGGGGTTCCATCTCCTCTGCCCCCCCATTCGCTGTTGAAGCCCCGGGCCCACGGGAGCGGAGTCCGGCTGCCTGAGGGGATCCCGGCGAGATACGTATGTGAAGCTCCCTCAGCAGCCGCCGAGAGCCGGTAGGCAGCGTGTCCATCGCTTCTCTGGAATCAAGAGGAACCTAAGCGTCACTGAGCCATGAGCTGGCAGTGGCCCTTGTGGCCAAGAGCGCCAGTGATATCCTGGGTTGCAGCAGGAAGAGCGTTGTCAGCAGCTCGAGGGAGGTGATCCTGCCCCTCTATTCAGGGCTGGTGAGGCCACATCTGGAGTGCTGTGTCCAGTTTTGGCCTCCTCGGCACTAAAGAGACATGTAGCTCCTGGAGCAGCTCCAGTGGAGGGCAACAAAGATAATGAAGGGGCAGGACTGTTACCAGGGAAAACTGAGGGAGTTCGACCTGTTCAGCCTTGAGAAAAAACAATTTGGAGGGGACCTCGCCGATGTCTATAAGTATCTGAAGGAGGGAGGATGCCAAGAGGATGAAGCCAGGCTTCAGTGGTGTCAAGCAATAGGGTAAGAGGCAACAGGAAGAAACTGATTCACAGGAAGTTCCACCGGGATATGGGGAAGAACTTTACTGTGCAGATGACCATGCACTGGAACAGATTGCCCAGAGAGGTTGTGGAGGCTCCCTTGCTGGAGATATTCAAGCACCATCTGGACACAGTCCTGTGCTGTGTGCTCTGGGATGATCCTTCTGGAGCAGAGAGGTTGGATCAGGTGACCCACTGTGGTCCCTTCCAATCTAACCCATTCTCTGATTCTGAGATTCTTTTGGCCGTGATTAAAGGATAGATATGGCCAAATGAGTTGTGAGATTACCCTTGTCAGAGAGGGAGGTCAGCAAACACCACAAGTCATCAGTCTCACTGGGAGCTGACACAGCCCCACAGGTGGGGACATCTGGGCCACCTTCCATATGATGTTACTGCTGACTGAATTCCATGTCCTCAGTTCACATGAGAACAGCCACTGGCTTCAGCTTCATCCAGCGTAACAAACCTGACCTCCTGAGAGGAGATACTCACTCCTCTCTACCACTTTCTGGAATGAGAGGGAAATGGAGATGGATGAAATACTCTGGATGCTGCTTGAGGTGACCTGTGCCTAGGAACATATCTCCATCTCAAGAAGCATCCTGTTTACAGTAACGTTATAAGGAATTTTGTGGGGTTTTTTTGCCTCTTACAATACAAGTTTCTGTTATGTTGAGCACCTGCGTAATTTGAATCCCTTTCAGAATTGCTCATCAACAGGGGAATTTGTTTCAGTCAGAAGCAGGGCCGATTCATTCCCACAGCCTCAAGCATAATCCCCGGCCTATTGGACACATTAATACTGTGGCAGCGTGCCACCTGCTCCATTTATTCACTTGAGACTCAATGCTGCTTAGTCCCTGTCGAATGAGCTCTTTGTGCCACCTCCTGCGGTAATGTAAAAGGTCCCCCACAGGAATTTGTGCTATTCAGTGGAAGCTACAAAAGGGAGGGTTGTAAACACTCCGATTAGTGTTGGAGCACAGGGATATTGTCCTCTCCACGTATTACATAACCTTGTAACTTTTAGTCTCCCTCCTCCTCTGCAGAAGAAACAGTGTAACAGCAAGGGCTCACCAGGCTATTTAACTTAACATCACAGCTAATGTGTTTCTTTTTTCGTTATATATAAAGGCCACCTTACTCTTGGCAAAAGAAGAGAGAAGGGTTCGTTCTGTAACATCCCGTAGTAATTACAGATGGCTGCCCATGAGGATCTCCACTTGAAGTGACAGTGGCCAGAGGCTCTCAGCTCTGAAGAATGTGTATTATTAGAGGCCACTGCCAACAAAAGTTCATGCACAATGGGCCCATCAGCTAATGAACCCAGAATGAATCTTACCCCAGATTTTGAGGACAAACAAGTGATTGTGTGCAGTGCTGACTATACCAATTTACTGCCATATGAAACACATTTGGATGATTTCTGACTTGCAAAATTCACTGTGGTCTGGGGCCAACTTACACAGACTGAGGAACTTTCTTACACCCTTAGCTTGCCCCACATTCAGTCCGTAAATTCTTACTGCTTTAAAGACAAAGTAAAGGGAGGATTCTGAGGTGGCAAGATCTCTGCTTGGAATATCAGTCTCACTGATGTTCCTGAACTTCATAAAAGTAATAAAATAATAATGGAGGGGAGCTTCAGAAAGCATCTGGTCAGGGAAAGAAAAGGGAAAAGGCATAGCTGTGTTAATGAATAATTCCTACTACTACTTCAAGAAACCGGTTCTGAGGTTGAGTTTGTCTTGGAAAGATAGGAGTCTCCATGGGCTGTACCATTCTGGGATAACTTCAGACACGCTGTGTAATTCTCCTTAGCAATAAAGGAATACACAGCAGACATAAAAAGATTTAGCTTAGGAAAGAAACTAGATGGCCACATACTGAAGCAAACAAGTGAAACAATAAGAGCTGGAAGATATAACAGGAAAACCTAGAAGTCATAAACTGATTGCCTTTGGGGGAGAAGGTATGTTGTTCATAAAAATTACCACAGAGGAGGAGCCAAAAAATGTGTATGATGCTGAACTCTGCCAAAGCGACTCCTATGAGCAGTATTATGGAACCATAGAATTACATAGTTTGGGATGACCATCTATTTCCAATCCCTCTGCCCTGGGCAGGAACATCTAGCCCTAGAACAGGTTGCTCAAAGCCAAATAATTCCATGTTCTCTGTGATGGGAAGAACATTTATAAATACTTAAATATTGAAAAGGGTGTAAGAAAACTTGAGCCTAGGCCATCTTTACATCCTAGATGTATTTGCCTGAATCAGGTTTGCTCTGTTTCTAGAAAGATTTTGTATCTAAGTGTGTTTCCCCATGTGAGTAGCACAAATTTTAACAATGTATTGATGATTTGGTCAAAGATGGCCAAGGGAATGTGTCAAATCTTGGTAAAGGTGTACCTTTTGCCAAGCACAACAGCCATTTCCATCTAACAGGAAAATGTTAGGCTGTTGTTTGGCTGTGCTCTGGAGGTATATCATCAGCATGGTCTGTCTCATTAAACTCCTCCCAGGCTACAAGTGTCCAGGCTTTGCCCCCGAAGGTGTAAGTGCCAGCTGTAGGACAGGGCACCATGGGGCTGGAGAGGCCGGAGTGTATCCGTGTTGGGTCTGTGTGTCACTGTGCAATCACCAGCCGACTTCACGTCACTCCAGCTGGCAGGATGAGGGGCTTGGGAGCCAGCTATCAGAATAGCTGTAATTTTGGGAGGGACACTGGAGTGACCACAGATATAATATTAAAGACACAAGCAGGTGTTCTTATATTTATTTTTTAGGAATTACATGTGAAATCCATTAAGCATACTAAAAGCAAGCCAAGAACCTTAAGAAATGACAGGAAAGCAATGTCACGTTATGACCTTTGTACTCAAGTGCCTGTAAGGAAAAACCAAAAAAATCCTAACAAAACAAACCCAAATCCCAAAAGCAACTAAACAAAAACCTTTTTTACTTTTAAAGAAAGAATAACAAGAGGGCCCCCAACCTTTTCAGTCAGACCGACCCCAAACACACTAGGGATTTCTATAATTTCTTACTATATGAATTACCTCTTTGCTTCCCTTTATGTGTAGTGATTTACAATTCTGTCCCAAAGGACAGTGATGAGAGTGGCCAATGCTTTACCTGGAGAACATTCCTGACTGAAAGAAGTTTTAAAAACATGTTCTTATGTAGGTGATGGTTTGCTGGTTATTCAGATGTAGGGTGAAATAAGAGACCCCAAAATAAATTATTATTTTTCCTGCAAAATTAATAAGACTAAATGAACAACTTTCTAAAATGGTTAGGTTTTTTAGAAAGAACATTGGAGTATTAATCATTCATATACAGAAAAATACTTCAAAGCAACACTTACAGTAATGGAAAAAAACTGCTGGAGATTTCATTCTCTGTGTTATTCTATTCATCTAGATCAGTAACTTTCGCTATATGCTTCCTGGTAACGTTTCCCTGAGAATCTCTTGAGAAAGAAAACACAAGAACCAGTAATATCTTTTTATTAAAATACCTCTCAAAACACTCATCATCATAAAATACACTGGGTGTTGCTGCATTACATTTGTGAACACACAACACTTTCAGCAAACTCTAGACAGCATCAGGAATTACAAAAAGTAAGGCAAGCCCCAGAAGGTGTACACTACCTTCTCTCAGGCCACTACAGACAACTGTGTTTACATTTTTATATGCCACTCCCCACAGCATTTCCCAGACACCTGTAAGGCCACTCCCCCAT